GCTCCTCCTGCCCTGTTGTGTGAGGCCCGAATGTGGGAATGGCAGCAGGAGATGCTCTGGGTTAAGGGACTGTTGGTTTTTGCTGGGTGTTTGACCAACCCAAGGATGGGCCTGGGGTGCTGCCTGTCCTGGTGGAGTCAGGAGCTGTGAGGCTCAGGGCAGCCGTGCTGTTCTGTTTCTAAGGAAAGCTCTGTCCCTGCTGGGCTGTGGGCTGAGCCTGCCGGTCCCAAAGCCACCCCTGGAGCAGGGAGCAGCTGGAGCTGCAGGGCTCAGCTCTGCGCTGCTGGGACCAGAGCCCTGGTTAACTGGGTTAATTGTATTCCTGGTGTTAGGAACACTGGATTTCGTTAATAGCAGCATGTGGGGAAATTACATCTTTGTTAATTGGACCTGATTGCTTTTTGGTGGATAGGAGATGTTTTTGACTTTAACATGCAGGACAAAGTTTGTTGTAATCAGCACATACGGTAAGTGCAAAAATACCATTACCTTGCCTTGCTAATTAACTCTCCAAAGAGGAAGAGATGGGAAAGACCTGCTTGACCACCTCTTCCTTTCTCCCTTGCCCCAGCAAGATCAGGCTTGTTTTGTACCATTCAGTGCTCTAGTGCTTCCTCTAATAAAGCTTTAAACATTATTTTTGAAGTTAAAAATGGTCATAAGAAGGCTGGCAGGCACAGAAAATCAGTCATGGGGCTGGGGATGCCTCTCATGGTGTGTGCTGTATCTTGCAGTTGGCTTTGTTGCTCTCTGGCCTTGGTCTGCCTGTAAGGCTCCTCATGGATGTAACTTGGTGGGAATCTGGTCTATTTATATGCTTAGCTAAATACATTGGTGATTTGGAGGCCTTTGATGCCATCATGTCCCTGGCTGGAATTAGAGGAGGCTTGGTCAGGCTGGGTTGTCCCCAGGGGACCATCACTGGGTAGAAGATTGGTGGTGCTGTTGTGGTATCAGCAGGAGCCAGTCATGGCTAAAGCAGTGATGATGTGACCTCAGTGCATGGAGTCAGTCTCTGCAATTCTTTAGCTTTCAGCCATTAAGTTACATTTCAATGAAGTACCACTACACAGCAGAAATCTCTGGTTTTAGCTGCAGCAGAGACCCTAATCTCTTTGGATAAAGCCCTAAAGCCCTGAGTGAAGGCACAGCAGGAGGCAGAGGCATTGCCTCCCCAGGGAAAAACAGACTGGAGCTCAGCTAAGGTGTTGAGCTCCTTGTAACTTATGAGGCTGTTCATCTGCAGATGGCAAGAAGTTGTGTTATGGCCCTGCTTACCCTGCCTTCTATTTATACAATACCATTTTTCATTTAAATGGAGGGTTTTCAGCCAGCTTTATTAGGGCTGCTGCTAATTGGGCTGGATTCATGTGCCCTGCCCAGGCAGCAGGAGGTCAGTGCTTTGTGTTTTACTGCTTAGTGCTTCGAATGGGCCTCGCTGTGGGAGTAGGAGGAGAGGGAATAGCAGAGCTGAGAGAGGAACTTAAGAACAAGTTTAACTCTGGCTGCCACGGAAGCTCAGAGATGCTCTCCCCATAGCAATGACGGAGTAGGGAATGGCTCCACAGAAGTCATGTAGTCCCTAGGGAGATGAAACCCCTTTCTGTGAGTGACCTTTCCAACCTGAAAAGATGTAGGCTCCCTTCTTTTACCAGGAAATTGGGTTTAAAAGTTCTTCAGTGCTTGAAGTGTCAGCTTCAGACCTTCATGAAGTGGTTTTTATGAGCCACCACAAGGAATCAGAACTCAGTGGCACAGTTTCACCACAGCTTCACTTTGGAAGGATCAAAGTTTGTGCCCTCAAAACCTAGAGCTAGGTTTTACTGAGAAACTGCAACAGGTGCTGACCTGGGAGCCAGCCATGTCTTCTCTGTCACGCTGCCCCTGTAAATACAGGTTGGGGGCTGACCTGCTGGGCAGCAGTGTAGGTGAAAGAGACCTGGGGGTCCTGGTAGACAGGAGGATGACCATGAGCCAGCAATGTGCCCTTGTGGCCAAGAAGGCCAATGGCATCCTGGGGTGCATTAGAAAGGGTGTGGTTGGTTGGTCAAGAGATGTTCTCCTTCCCCTCTATTCTGTCTTAGTGAGGCCACATCTGGAGTATTGTGTCCAGTTCTGGGCCCTTCAGTTCAGGAAGGACAGGGAACTGCTTGAAAGAGTCCAGTGCAGAGCCACAAAGATGATTAAGGGAGTGGAACATCTCCCTTATGAGGAAAGGCTGAGGGAGCTGGGTCTCTTTAGCTTGGAGAAAAGGAGACTGAGGGGTGACCTCATCAATGTTTACAAATATGTAAGGGGTGAGTGTCAGGGAGATGGAGTTAGACTTTTCTCAGTGATGACCAGTGATAGGACAAGGGGTAATGGGTGCAAATTGGAGCATAGCGGGCTCAATGTGAATATCAGAAAAAACTTTACTGCGAGAGTGACAGAGCCCTGGAACAGGCTGCCCAGAGAGGTTGTGGAGTCTCCTTCACTGGAGACATTCAAAACCTGCCTGGACACGTTCCTGTGTGATGTGCTCTGGGTGACCCTGCTCTGGCAGGGGGGTTGGACTAGATGGTCTTTCGAGGTCCCTTCCAACCCCTAGGATTCTGTGATGGGACATACATGCAGAGATAAACGTGCAGGCCAGACTGCCCCTGGGCTTCATCACTGAGCCGTGCAGCAGCAACTGCTTCTCATCACTCAGGGATGATGAATATGTCACCACTGTGACCCCTTGGTGATGGTTCCAGGTTGCCACCTCAGCTCTTGCCATGTCCACTGCTGACAGCAAGGAGGGGATACTCTTTTTGAGGAGAAGTGAAGTTTTCTCTTGGTTGTAGAGGGCTAGATGCTGGGTTCCTGCTCTTTGTTGAGCCACAGGCTGTCACCAGGGAGGTAAAAAATAATTTATATTTTAATGTTATGAATATGTAACAACTTGTGCAAGCTTTCACACCCAGTGGCCATGAATTTAGAAATGCTGTCAAAAATCATGGCCCTTGGTATCCTGCCAATTGGGTCAGAGCTGTACATTTCTTTTACTGATGTTTGAGCCATTTGCCATATGTGACTTTCTGAATTTGTGGTCATTTCTCTCTCTGCCCCAGTGTGCTGAGTGTAGGACTGATGTTTTATATTGTGCCTCTGAGACACAAAGTCCTTCTGGTGCTTTTGCTTGGCATCCTAAACAGGTTGGTTTGCTCTCCTTCCCATCCTCTCTGCTAATGGCTTCTGGCCACAGCCTGGCCCTTAAATCATGGGCTGCACCCAGACAGGCATAAGCCACAACTCTTCCCAGACAGAGGGTGTGTGTTTGGAGCAGTGAGTGATGTGCCTCTGAACAAGGGTGGTTCAGCCTCCTGAGAACAGTTGCTCCTACACAGAGCCCAAGACAGGTCCCCCAGAGCACACACCAGAGCCTCTGCCCACAGGGGCAAGTCCTGAAGACATTTGAAATATTCAAGGAGCCTTTTCTAGGACAGTCAGCCTGAATGCAAAGGGAGAAAATGTTCAGTGTAGATACTGTGAGGGTATGTCACCATGATCTCTGTGCTGGGAGGAAAGCTGAAGCTGAGGAAGTTCATGTTGTGGGGAGTGGAAGGAGGCGTTGCCACCTACCTCCTCCACTTCCCTGCCCATGCCTTTCCTCCCCCACCTGTACCTCTTTTAGATATAAAAGCTTTTTTACTGCAGGACTATTTTTGCTCAGTGAATTAAAAAGAAGCATTTGCAGCCTCTCCTCCCCATCACGACTGCTGCCAGCAGCAGTGATCCATGGCTGGACCCAGCCTCTCAGGTCAGCAGGGAGAGCAGACAAGTGCAGCAACAGGATGGCAGGACAGGCTCTTGCCAGCCCCAGCTCTGCTGAGGTGCCCCTGTGCACTGACATGGGGCTGCCATGTGCTGCAGATCTGCTCCCTCAGAGCCTGGTGAATCACTAAAGGCAGCAGATGTGACTCAGGTGTTTCCTAACTAGTTTCTAATCTTTTTGGCACAGCAGTGCCAACACACAAATGTAAACTAGACCAATGGGACCATTTATTACATTTGGGTCTTGTTGCAGTGGGGCAACCCTGTTAAGACAGTTTGGTGTGTTAACATAAAATAAGGAAAGTTGATTTTCTCAGATGCTTCTGAGGATCAGCTCTTGCTGAGTGTAGGCTTTGGTGTCTCAGCTATGCCTCTTAAGGACTTGAGTTGCCCGCCCTGACACAATTAATCTCTCTGCTGGGATGAGCCTTCCTCTCAGGAAGGTGCAAAATGCAATCCCCATGACTGTGGGGATGAATCAAGTGTGTTACATGAATATAGACATGAATCAAATGCCTCAGCTTCAAGTCAGCTTTCCAATTCTGACCCAGCTGTGAAGCATTAAGTGCTGCAGGATCTGTTCAATCTGGCTAAGCCACATTCCTTCCTAGTGCCTGCTGCTTCCAGGTTCACTGTTGTGGTGACAGATGTCTTGAGACCAGAGCTGGTTTGCCTGGTAGCTGGGGCAGTGATGGTGCTCAGAACGAAGCTGTCAGGCAGTACAATTAGCCTGCTCCAGTTTAAAAGGAAAAAACAAAACCAAACTAACTGAAAAAAAACCCCACAACAAACACCTGCAAACCAAAACAAAGAAAGAAAACCTCTGCAAGAACAACATGCACTCCCTTCCGGTAGTTTAGGTCTAGCAAACATAATCTAGGAGGAATTACAGCTCATGCTGTTACCCCTGAAAGGCAGAGCCTGCTTCTTCCTGCACAGCTGTCCCCAGGCAGTGCTCAGAGCTGTAGAACACTTCAAGGATCTCATCCACACAACAAGGTGGGATTATAACTGTGTATGCTCTGTTTTGTTCATAACACCAAGGAGCCCTCTGACTAAAAACACCTTTCTCTTCCCAGCCATCATTAATCAGTTATTCCCCTTTCAGCTCAACTTCAATATGCCACTTAACTGTCTGTACCTAAAAATTATTTAAAATGAAACATTCAATTATTACTGAGCGTAAACACCCAGAACAAGGCTGCAATTTGATTTCTTTATTTCAGAAATGATAAAGCACTCTGGCACTAAACTCTTGCTCTGTCCAACAGCAGCTGAGCTACTAAACTGATGACACGTGGATTAACCAGACAGTCCAGCAAATCATTGGTAGAAAGGGCTGCTTGTGAGGCATTTGGACTGCTGTCTGAATCCATTTGATATGCAGGTGTTTCACAGTCATTACTTATTACCAACTGCTTCCTGGCACAGTGCAATTTTCCAAAATGTCCTCCTTCATTTTCATGGAGAAGATCTCTGCTATCACTTCCAACTGCAACTGCACCCACTGAACTTCTTTCTTGAGACTGTGGTAAAACTTGAATAAGATGAGGCCCAAAAGGTATTCTCTGCAAATTTTCTGCTGGAAATGTTGAAAAGCCACATTCATGGGTTAGTAAGCTGCAGCTCTCTGATTCACAGCCAACTTCCCCTTTCTTCCTCTTGCATGAGGGGCTCATCCTTTGCTCTGCAGCAGCGCTGCAGGGACGTGCCTGCTCCAACACACCTGCCCTTGGACACTGGAAGTATGCAGACACTGCTTTGTTCAGGTACTGGAGATTGATTTCATGGGATGTTGCCTCAACCTAGGAAAACACCCAGGATACACTCAGTTAAAAGGAGATACATTTCAATTCGGTCTTGCACGATTATCTTCCATAAGTTACTTTTGCTACATGAAGGGAAGGAATTGAAAATTCTTTTTCTCAGGCAGCAGAAAGACTTGGAGGGAGCTAAGCAAAATGTCAGTAATTCTCTGTTATCACTGCTCTAATGGGAGCAAGAGAGGGCTTACCTCTGTGGGATTCAGCCAGAGATCTCCATCACTGGGATTTTCTGCTGATTTTATGGCACATACCAGCATTCGAGTTACTGCTTCTTCCACACGGGCCTCATGATCTGCATCCTGCTCCAAGGGAACAGAAAGTGTTTGGAGATAGGTGAGCACTTGGGGCTCTGCAGGAAGTGGAACTTCTGGGGAAGAACTAAACTGAGGGCCTTGGTTTGACAGCCATACTCTCATGTATGTGACATCAGTGAAAGGTTTCAGACTTTTTGTGCTCCTACACATGAATGACATGAGTAACAGCACAGGCTTTGGTGTGACTACTCATCTGAGTAAGGATTTGAGAAAAATAGATTGCAGGATGCATACATATATTATTTTTTTCTTACTAGTATTCTGCCAGTTGAATCTGGTGCTTGAAATTACAACGCAGTATTAGCATTTATTTAATGTATGCATTTATACAGCTCTTCAGGACTAGAAGGACATGTAAGTACATAGTAAATTTTATATATCTACATATTGTGCCTAATTTAAGTACTTTAAATACACAGGGTGTTTACAGCAAGGCAGCAACTATCTGGGGGCTACAGAGGCACAAAAGAAAGTCCTAAGGAAATTCAGGAAATACTTTATCATGTAACAGTAGCTGACATTCTGCTGCAGTTTCAAACACCAGCTCTTCTGTAAAGTACTAAGTTAGTAACTGATTCTTTCTTTTGAGCCTTCACTGTCTGCATCATCCCTCTATGCAGCTGGGTACTAGGTAGCTTAGGATATCAGAACAAAACTTTATAGGATCTTTTAAAGTTTTCCTTCCTACTTAACTGATTTTTTTTTTTTTTAAATGAGGAAAGGAAGTATATGTGGAGGGAGACAGTAAGACTCCAAACAAGATGGGTGGTATAGTTACATCAATGACAAGTGCCTAGGAGTGGACATGTAAATTTGCTTTCATTGAGATGCTTAGACATGCAAGTTTTGGAAGAAAGACGTAACCTTATCAACCCACAGCCCTGAACCGCCTAATTGTGGCTTTGGGTAGTATGTCAAGCAAACCATGCATCTTGCTAATGTGAGGGTTGAAGGCAGTAATTCATCCTGGAACTCTGAGAAGGATTTGGGATAGAAGCAGGGGGAAGTGCTCTTAGCATTTTGTGGCCTTGGATGTTTGGTGTATCAGTGGCCTCATATACCAACCCCCCACAGCCCAGAGTCTGGTTATCTACATGTGGAAATTAAATTAGTGTTGCACTCTTGATATTCACCCTTGTCTGCTGAATAAAAGGGTTGTCCTTATTGCATAAGAGTATGTTAGGAAGCAACGAATACTTTCAGTAGCTCACAGACAGCTGAAAACAAATTAAACTTCTAAAGTCTTGCCAATATAATTAATGGTTTCACTAGGACTATAAATGTTGGCATGATTCACATCTGTCAATATGAAGGCAGCTGGTAACAGCTGCAAGCAAGAACTGCTTGATTTGGTAATGGAAATGTTCTCAGGATTGTCTTTAAGCATCCATGTCACAATTTACTTTTATAGACGGATTGTCCAACACTTAACAGTGCTGCCATCAACAGCTGTAGAGAGAAATTCAGTGAGGAACTTCCCCTTGGGTTGCTGTAGCTACACTTGCTCATGGCAACTTTCAACATTGGGGAGCACTGCTCATGATGTCATACACGGCTACTTGCTCTGGCTGTCACTGAATAGGATCTTGGTGACTTCTTTATGGCCAGAAAGGCCATGGAGTTCAGCTCCACTATTTTTCTTGCAGCACATAAAAATGGCTACAGATGCCACAGCTAACACATCACCCAGCCACCTGGGAGCTACCAGCTCAGCACAACTGATTCAGCCTTGACCTGCTCCTCCACAGGGGGACAATTTGTGAGGCACAGCTTAGGGTCCAAGTGTGTGTGTTGACATCAGGGTCTTTCCAAGCACAGGGTGCACAGCCAGTTCCTCTGAATTACCTCATAGGCTGCTCAAATTGAAGGCAGGCTTAAATGGTTGTTCTACAACATTGTTGGTGCTTTCTCTGTCACTGGACACAGCTGACTGTATATAGGGCTATGTAAGAACTTGGTATGGTCCAGGGGCCTGCTGTCATTTATAAGCATGGTCTCATCTGGAAAATTTCTCCATGAGGGCAACACCCAAGTGAGTTCCTCTACTCTGCAAATGGCTGGTTTGATGTTGGTATGAGAAATGTATCATGTGGTCTTTGAACAGCAGCTGAATGTATGTGTTCATCCCCCTGGGGATTTCACAGCTGACTGTATATAGGGCTATGTAAGAACTTGGTATGGTCCAGGGGCCTGCTGTCATTTATAAGCATGGTCTCATCTGGAAAATTTCTCCATGAGGGCAACACCCAAGTGAGTTCCTCTACTCTGCAAATGGCTGGTTTGATGTTGGTATGAGAAATGTATCATGTGGTCTTTGAACAGCAGCTGAATGTATGTGTTCATCCCCCTGGGGATTTCTAGTCTAATAAAGGTTTAAAAAAAAAAAAAAAAAAAAAAGAAAAAAGCAATAAGTATTTTAGTGAGGCAGCTTTCACAGGCCATTTCAAAGGGTCTTTTTTTTTATATTAAGCTAGGATTAATGATAAAGCAATTTGAATCAGAAAACCTTCTGGAATATTGAGATGATATCCCTGGAACCATCACATACATAGTGGTTAACATAGTAAGAAAAATCAAAGCCTGGGGAAAAGAAAATTAATTAAATACTTGAGAAAATCCAACTCCAGGCAAATCAAAACTATCACAGAGAACTGATAATTCAAAAAATCCTCTGCCCTCCTGACTATTACATTAATCTGATTTAAATTCTAATTTTGCTTAGCACATATGCATGTGCTCGAGGTGAGTTGCTGTTTTGTTGTCTCCCATTCAGCACAAAGCTACGTAGCCCATAAGAAATTGGATATGAGAAGTTTAGTTTTTGTTTGCCCAGTTGAGGTAAAGTTGCACGTGAATTCTGCTGAATTTGGGCTTCTGATCTGGAACCCTGGAAGGTCCTTCAGGGAAAAACTGTAGCCATAGGGGCTCTTCCCTCCCCAGCCTCCAAATACAATATGCCAAATAGGTCTGAAACTGGCAGGCAAGGGAAAAAAGCCCATGCAGATATGGAAATGCTACATCACCAGGACATAAAAAGTAAAATACCAGCTCAATCCAAGAGTTTATGCTGACAGTGATGGGATCAATGGATTCCACATAGTGCCACCAGTGCCTTGGAACAAGCAGGACCTGGAATTGGAAACACTGTGTTAGAGGACTAACAGAAGCCTGAAGAAAGAGAAGGTGTTTTAATTACGGTGATGTGGGATGCAGAGGCACAATGAGGCAAGGAATAAGAAGGAGGTGATCTTTTTTTCTTCTGAAGAGCCTTTTCTCAAGACTTAAATGCCTGCTCTCTCCTCCCATTCTATCAATGCCCTCATGTGAGAAGTGGACATGATCCAGAACCACCTCTCATCCAAACTCTTCCTCATATGAGGCAGGATTGTAACCTCATAACTACTCTAGGTAGCTATGGTCCATCTGGACAAAGGGAGTGCAGCTGGAGTAGCAGTAGAGCAGGGCTTTAGACAAAGTCTTAGCCAAGCAAGAAGTCTTTTGTAGACTCCAAATGAACAAACTTCCCAGTACATTTAGGACTGCCAGCTGGCTTCACCAAAAAGCAGGTATCTTAATGCTCATCTAGGTGATCAACAATATGTAGCTTTAATTCTGGTAAAAAAATCACCAGTATTAAGCCTGTCACTTTTGGTAGACAGGGTTTTAAAACAAGGTATCTCAGAAATCATGACAATCTAGTTTAGATCAGAGCTTTACAACTACATCAGGATGATAGCTGTGACATAAAATTGATTCTAACCCACAGCTTTTATGGTATAAAAGACATTAATGTTGTTTTGATGATATAGTACCAGCTTCACAGATTACTGAACATTAGATTAACATAGAGCTATCAAGAAAAGCATAAAAGATGTTTTTTGACAGGGAATAAAAATGGTCAGAGATGGAGAAAAATATACACTTTGGAATGGGGAAAGTGAAGCAACAATCTATATCTGAACTGCAGACTTTTCTTTTTCTTGGTAGATTCAAATTACTTAAAAGAATGTTCTGCTACCTAGATAGCCCTGTGCTTCATTATATTAAAACATGGCTAATACAAAAATATGTGCAGGAAACAATGACCATGGCCTCAGTCCTGCAAACACCTACAGGACAGAGCAGAGTAATTTTTGGGCCTCAGGACAAAATGTTCTCCACAGGTTTCAATTTAAGGCAAGCAAAAAAGCATTGGCTTTCTAAAGGTCAGAAACATTTGAAAATTGTACTTTAATCCAGTACAGCATACAAACCAGAAAGGAAGTAATTCTGTGGAGGGCCATTATTTATAAAGTATCACCAATTAGTTATTCCTGACATCTAAAAGTGTACAAAAACCTACACAGCCTGAAGTCAAAACGTTTTCAACACAGAACAAGTCTGAGTGGTGCTTTTAAAAATGCAATTGCATTAGCTGCAGTAGGTTTATCTGTTAGAAAGTGTTTGCCCACATTTCATTGACTGCAGAATCATTAGAAAAACCAAAACAACACTCGTTTCCTTGCAGGGCATCTTACACTGCAGCCTGCTAAATAATCTGGGTGCCATCCAAATGACAGGGTGTAATGATGAAGCCTGGAAAAGTCTGGTGAACAGCAGAAGGAGGCAGATCTTCTGCAGGAAGTAGCTGTTTCCAAGAACATGGTCCTTACTGTGAGACTTCTGTAGGAGCAGTGAGCTTCCAACATGCTGGAAGGCTGAATGAAGACACTAGGGAGCTGGGGTAGGGTGAAGAGGGAGTGTATGGCAAGAGGCAAACTAAGAAAAGTGCATAAATGTTTCAATAAAAGGGGCTGCCTGGTAAAAACAAGATGGAAATTAGGAATGGAATGTACTGGTTCAGTGTGATTAATGTGCAAAGCAGAGACACAATTGCTTTGGCAAGAGGAGCTATGGCTAGGAGGAAAATAAAATTCCCCCAAATAATCCAGTCTTTTTAAACCAAAGGTGAGAAACTTGGCTGTACAAAAGACTAACCAGCTTTTACTTGCCATGAGGTTTAGGGTAATAACTGCAAAGCTGTGTATTTCTGCAGCTGGCACTGTTGGCTGATGCAAATTATAAAGGGCCTACAGAGCTGTGACTCCAAGAGGTAAAACAGGCACTGTAAAGATACCTGCTATCCCTCTCATTCCTAGGCAAGCTTATGCTTGTTAAATTAAGATTTATAGCAGCAAGAAAATTGAAATTACCAAGAAGTTAAAGGATTTAAAACTTTAAGAAAGATGAAGAAATGAAAAAAAAAGTCAATAAAACAAAAAAATACAGTTGGCAAGGGAGCAGTTGACTAATAGAAGAGAAAAAAAAAATAAAAAATTTACAAATCCAGCAAAGAGAAGTAGAGTAGGATTCTCCTACTTTTACCAAATAGTGTTTTTCTAGGTTTGCAAGCTGGAATAAAAAAAAACAAACCCAAAACACAACCCCACTACAAAACCAAAACCCCACCACCACTGCCCCCAAATATGGATTCCACAATAAAATAAAGCAGATTTCCATATATTTATGAATGTGACCCAGATTTAGCTACATTTGAAACTGTTTTTCAATAGAAAATGTGAAAATAAGCCACAGTGAAATAATACAGAGCAAACATTTTACAGGCAAAATGTGAAGTGCAAAAGCAAGACACAACTATTCCAAGCTAAGAGAGAATCTTCTGTTAGCTGCTTTCTGCAGAAGGATTGAGCTTTGTGGGCTGAGAAGATACTGATCTAAACAGCAACCAATCAGATTATTTTATTATTTAGGCTAGCAATAGGCAAATAGAGCAGATGAAGTCAAAGTAGGACACAAATCCCAAAAAAGATAAAATGAAATTCTGGTCTGTAATGGGAGGAAGGAAACCAAGAGAACAGTTGAGAGAGCAAGTGGAGCAATACTGAAGACTTGTACAGCACAGAGAACAGAACAGGTTTAAATTCTCAATGGACATGATTAACTCAATACAGTGCAAAGTTAGGGCAAAGGTGGAATTGCTTCAAAAAGAGCATGCCCTGAAGTGGAATGTTATACAAAGAAGTTCCTGCTCATTAGAAAATGGTATTTGGGTAAATGTGCTGGAAAAGGAAGCACTGAAGAAGGCCACTGTGATGGGAACAAAAAGATGGGAGCTGTGGGGGGAACCAACAGAATTCCTGGAGCTGCTTGTAACCCTGGTAATGCAAAATAAATAAATGCAGAGCCAGCTCTGTGGGAGCACCATGTGAGGACTCTGAGAGCACTGCCACCCCAGCAGATGCCCTGTCCCAGCATGTGCCTGGCTGCCCTGGGGCTAGGAAGGTCTGTCTTACCGTGCCTCCCTCTTCCCCAACAAGCTGGTGTCCTCTCACCTGCTGAAACTGGGCACCCAAGGGCCACTGGGAGCAGAAATGCAGGCAGAGCCCTAGGAAGGAGAGGGCTGTGAGCAGGAAGGGAATAGGGCTGTCACCAGCCTGTGTCCATCGGGACCCAGGCAAGGGACTGAGCGAAGCTCAGGGAAGAGGTAGGAAAGTGGAGTTAGAAACTGGCAGCTTTCACCTTTGGTTTGCTTGACTTCCTGGGCACTCATGGGGTTCTGCCTGTGTGTTGCAGGCTGAGTGGTGTTTTCATCAGCAATTCTAGTGTAAATGCAGCTCCTGGACTTTTCTGCCTGTTCTGTGATGGAGATGATAGTTCTGGCATCTAGAGGTTGAGCTGGGCTGTCTGCCTGCTCTCTGGGGTGACTTGGGGCCAGCTCTGCAGTCTCTCACATAAACATTTTTTCTTCTTTCCCCAAAACAGAATTATCAATCATCTACTATGCACAATACTGCAGACAACTGACCTCTGCTTTACTAAAAATCACTTAAACTCTCTTCCAACAAAAGTAGTTTTTCACTGTAACCCCATTTAAAAAGTACTTTGCCTGCTTTGAGCCAGAATATTTCATTGCCTTTTAAAAAGTTTGAATTAGTGCATCTCCTGACTGACTACAGCACTTTGTTTTGTATAATTTATATTTTTCTTGGTTATTCAGATTGTCTGTTCTCCTATTACCCACTGTAATCCCAATCTGAAGTTCTCACTCCCTTTCTTTAAAGGGGCATATAAGGGAAATACCTTCCTGACTTCAGGAAGATTTCTGCTCCCTCAGGGTTAGGCTAGAAGTCAGAGGTCTGCCTGTGCTGCTGGGAGCTCTGCTGAGCAGGATCCCACCATGTGTCAGATACTGTAGCAGAAACATAGGAATAGAAAACCTTCCAGGTACCCACAGGAACTGTAGTTGTGGAGGCAGACTGAGTTTGAGGTATGTTTCTTTAGACTTTCAGAAGGCAGGCAAGCAAAAGCAGGGGAGGAGAGCTTCTGAGCAGTAGACCATGGTGAGAATCAGCAAATGGTAATGTTGATCTTTCTAAAAATATTTTTCCCACCCTGTGACAATATTTTCAAGGCTGGCAGAGAGCATCCTTCTTGGACTTGATGTGCCTCTAAGACTAGCTCAGTTAGGCCTTTCCTTGCACCTCAGGTGTCCAGAGCTGCACTGTGGCTCCTCTGGCTCCAGGCTGCACCTGAGACACAGGGCCAAGCAGTAGTAGAGCCTGTAGCAGCATGGGTTCTGGTGTCCACCAGCCAGAGAGAATGGCATTGCTTGTGGGAGCCCAGCATACATGGTGCTTGCTCTTCATTAGAAGGACACATGTGTGGAGCCTTCTGTGTCTACCTCCAGACAAGTTGAGATGGGTTTTCTAGTCTTTTACCATTGTCTAGTTATATGGATTAAGAGGAAAATGGGTTAAGAGCAATCCCATTAGCAAGCAGGAAGGAAGCAAGAAGCTGGTGAGAAGTGGAGCAGAGGAAAGAATGATCAATGATTTTGCATTTGTACAGCATCTCAGATTTTTGTAGGTGGTACTCCTCTATTAAAAATAGAGGAATATCTTCTATTTTTAATCATCAAAAAAGTTAAGCATCTATGTGCGTAGGCTCCTTTTATAGCCTGTGCTGAAGGAGAAAAGGGGATGAATGCTCCTGCAGGACTGTAACTGTGTAAGAGAGGGAGGATGAATTGCCTTGTAGAGGTGCCAGGTTCTTTCCACTGATGGCAGACAGGACATCTGTCCCAGATGGGGTTTGAGCGTGGCAGATCCTACCCTAACTCTCAACACTTGTCCCAGAGAGTGGGGTGGAAGATACTGGAACAGACATGTTTTGCCCTATGTGCAGTCTCTTAAGCAGTATGTGTATATTTGTGAAAACAATCCAGGCATGACTAGAAATATTGCAGAATTTTTTAACAAATAAAACACCAGTGCTTTGGGAGAAAAATCACTAGTTCAGTGAATTCAAATCCACCAGCAATGAACCTCCTGCTACAGTTAGATATCTAAATGTTACCATAATTTGGATCAAGAACAGATCACTAATGTGTAACTAATATATAAGACCTCTGTGAAAATGCTGCCAGCAGCCACTGGTCAAAGACAGGATGAAACATCATAAAACTTAAAGCCTTGGCCAACTACCAAAATTCTTGACAGAGACTCACCTCTGAACAGCACAGTGAAAGGGGGAAAAGTCTGCCACCAAAGTACACATTGTGCATTGGTACAATGTTTCATGAAGGAATTCTGCTTTCAAGCCTTAAATGGTTGTAGAGAAATGGCTTGTAGCAAACACCGTCCAGAAGGTGGCATTAGCCACATTAAATTTTTGATATTCAGAGCTGCACTCACCCTACATGCAGTTGCTCTCCTGACTACCTTAGAACACCTTTGTCTTTAATTTTCAAGCCTTTATTGTTACAATATCTAATCCATGATGTTCTGCATATCCTCTGGGAAGGGGTGGAGAAGCTTTACATTATCACAAAATAAAGCTGGCTGCAAATTCTGCAGTAATTTTATTAATTCTACTTAAAAACGACTGCTAAGGTACAGATCCAAGATTGTTTTTATTTAGGGATCCTTTCCCTTGTTAAAAAAGCAGTTCTTTGAGGTAATTCCTTTTCTCTCCATCAAACAGCAGCATTCCCCAGCTACCTGCCCCATAAGCTTCTGGATGAGATGCTGGAAAGCACCACCCAGAAGGTGCTGGTGAAATGGATGAAAGCAACATTTCAATGCTCCCTCATTGCCTCTATGTTGCTTTTCCCCCAGAAATCCAAACAGTATCTCCTCCATGTCAATGCAGGCAACTTGTTCTGCTGAGCTGGCTCAAGATCTTTATTCCTAGGAAGATTCATTTGTAATTGCTTTCAGCCTAATTAAGATTAAGATAATATTCAAGGTTCGCTACTATACTTGGTCATTCCAAAGGAGATTATAAATTGTAATAGTGTTGGGATCATGGATAATGGCAGTGCTGAATGTATGTGGCCTTTTTATCAATGGTAAACATTTGTTCTTTGTGCTTTATATTATTGAATGCTGCAACTTTACAAAGTGTAGGATTCAAAACAAACTATTTGTTTTAGGAGTATCACTAGGAGCTAATGCAGGGCAAATAATGCAACTGTACCAGCACAAGAGCATGCTCTTCCCAGTTCACTGACATCATCCTTTTGTTGGAAACTACTATCCTGCTCTAGTCAGCCATCTCACCAGTTCACAGGAGCACCCTTCTCTCTGCCTCCCTGAAATCACCTGTATTGACAAAAATCCATTCTTTAAATGGCTGAAGACAGCTGGGTTTGCCAGCCAGGGGCAAGGGAACACTTGTACAAATAGCTGAGCTAGCAGGTCACAAGAGGTGACACCTGCCAGGAAAATGGTGAAAAGGCCCTAAACCCAGGAGTTTCACTGGTCTTAAGGGGCTGGAGCAAAGAACATTGCAAAATTATTTTGGAAAGGCCTGACAGTTTGAGATGCACAGGAGTGCTTCACAGGGACATGGGCTGCTGAACAAATGCAAAGAGGTGATTCAGACTTCCAATACAGACCATGTTGATTAAATAAAGGAGGACACTATTTACAGTGGGAGATAAGGAATGAAGAGCCATGAGCCCTGCTCTCATACTGCTGTTAAATCCAAAACTACTTAAAACCAAACTTCCCAAGTAAAACAGGGTTAATAATATCCTTACATCCTTGTGAAGCACTGTGAAATCTCTGAAAGGTGTGCACTCTAAGTATCATCATTATAATGCTCTGCTATTAAAGCAATAAGTGGGGGCAATGTTCCCTGGTGAAGGTTATTCACTATCAAAATATGAGTTCCTTTACTGGCTCTACACGCTCATTAATCAAATACATTTTATGGAACATACTGGTTTCAGAGTAGACAGGTTGGAAAACTGTTGAAGAAAGTTGTAAAACAGACCAGTTAGAGGTGATTACAAGAACTGTCATGGAATTAAGCAGCTGATTGAACTAACTGTCTAGAAGTTTGCAGGTTTTTTGTACAAAAAAGGCTAGTAAATTAACTGTGAGCAAAGAAAGTTCCCATGCTGAGAGAAATGTTTCAAGCCTGAGCGCAGACTGTAGAGAGAGGGAAGTTCCACAGTCCATTTAAGATGTTCTAGCCTTTAATTAGCCAGTTAAATAATTTACTAGAATCTTTAAAGTGAGGTAAAGCTTGTATGTGAATGGTACCTGTCCTGGGCTGAGTGTAACCACATGGGCTGTTGTGTTCTTAAACTGAGGAAAGTGTTTCAGATCAGGGTTGGCAACGTTGACTTTGCTGAATACGCTGGATTCCTCATAAGGGATCCTGGTGGGATAAAGGAAACTGGTGTCACCAGGTGGGAAGAGGTGCCATCTCTTCCTGAAAATAGAAGATAAAAATGTATTCAGTGCATGTCAGTTACAGCAAAGAACTAAAGGCAGTAGCAGGGTTTTCAATAAAACATAAATCTGCCTCTCTGTGTGAATCTCCTACGCAGTGAGAACACAGGCACTGCTTACAGGCTGTCTCCTAAAGCATTTTTAAAATATTCCACTTTTTAATTTTTTAACTGAAAAGATTTACAGCTTCTCACAAATTATTTTTATAAAGGCAGATAATTTTATTTTTTTTTTAAAAAAAAAAGCTCTCCCATCTGCTTCCTCCTTCCACCCTTTTACAGAACACGCAGCATTTACAGATGCTCAGAGCATTAAAAATTGCTCTACAAACCTAAGGAAATAGTTTTGTTAGAGATCAAGGACTTCCATTCACTGAATGAAGAGCTGCTGCACCCCTGTTTGTTTTATAATGAGGGTATTGTGTGTTTAGGATGGTTACAGTAAAGGGCTATGAACATCATCTTCTGTGCCCTCTCATCACCTACAGGACTTATTTGGCCATTAGTCACAAAACTCTCATTCTCAGCAAAACACCTTGATGCTCCTATGCCACAGGTAGGGCAATGGCATAAATAAAAACTGGAGCCATCCCTAGACAGAACATTCTAAAACATCAGTACTTTTTGGTGTTATTACCACATAATGAAAATGTGGCTTTCATGGGCCACCAGGGTTAAGAACTCAGTGGCATGACTAAATGCCCAGATGGAGCCAGACTGGGTTGCTCTACTCGTGAGGGCACTCATGTTCTGGGCTGCTCTTGATGAGCCCAAAGCAGCAGGTCAACACACTGCAGTGCAGGGCTGAGCAGAGCTGAGACATGGGCCTTGACCTTAGGAGTTAATGTCTCTATTTCAGTGACATCAACCAGATCAAAGAGAGAAAAAGAATATGCCAGAACTGGTGGTGCCAGTTTTATGGGTACTTATAAATTAAATACCTTAGCAGGTACATATGTTATTTAGAAATAGGAGTTTTATATGGCTGTACTTAAGGTGATGGAAATAACCAGAACAGAATACAAAGAGAGAATTTATTATATTTAAGAGGTGCCAGACAAGCAGTACAACAGTGACCCATGTACTAAGCAATGGAGAAGTAAAGGCAGTACTTTGCAGTGCAGTTGGACAATTTGAGCAGCTCTCCTCTTTGCTTCAGGCTTTAGCAAGACCTTTTCTTTTTGTTCTTTTCCTTGGTAATAACTTTTTTTTTTTTGCCTGCTGCTTCTGGTTGTCAGTGTTAAGTCACAGATCTGAAAAGGGGGAGAAAAGCAGCCAAATGGCACAAAAACAAAAGAGACAGGAATAGCAGGATAGCCAGAACTTCAGAGATTGGCACAGATGGAAGTGCCATCAGCCACTGATGTTTCTCAGTAATTGCCAAAGCTACTACAGGTTACAAGCACAAAAAATAATTCTTCTGAAACTCAAGTCCTATTGCAGCTCCACTTTGCCCTCCAAACTAGACCCTCTGAAAGGGCTGAGAATAAATACATTAGGAAGCTCACGGGTTAATCCTGCAGGCTCATGTCAAAGCAATATCATGTAGCAAAAAATTAAGAAGCCTGAGGGATGCAAGAAGGAAATTCAAGATAGCAACAAAGGGCTAAGGAGTCATCCCTGGCTTTTCTGCAAAGGCAAATCTATTTCAGTTTAGCATAAGCTTATATTTTGTTACAAAGCCTGTCTTGTTTGTGAGTCTCAAAAGGGAATCTTTCCGCTCTGAAGAAGCACAGAGTTCACAAGCTTGTGGAAGTTTTCTATCTATTTATAGCCTTTGCTCTGAAGAGGAAAACAACTTTGTCTTTTCAGGCTACACAAAGGCTTTAGGCTTCTTCCTTCCCTGAAAGAACAGGGATTTTGCTCTACCAGAGGGGGAGAAAGTGTCTTGGGAAGGTTGGCAAAATCACTACGCAGTGCTGGAACTCTGGCTCAAGCTCAACACGTGAAGGTAGAGACCAAAGAGGCAGGGCAGGTATCAGGTCTGTGAAACTACCACACCTATTTAGTACACCCAGTGTTAAGGTGGATCCTTAGAAAATATGTAAGCATGTAAGTCTCATGTTTTTCAATGATATTTCTGGCTCCTAGATACACTGAAGTGTCTGGACTTCAGTGTCCAACACTTACTAATGCAAACTGAAGCCTGCAGGACTGGCTGCAGCAAAATGCAGTGCTAAGAAAGGCTTCCTGAGTGTCTCTCCTGCATTCACCCAAGGATCTCAGGACTGTTTATCAACAGAAATAAAAACCTGCCTGAGAACTTTACAGAGTTACCCTTCCTACAGATGATGACAAATTAATTTGCCTCAGGCCTTAAAGGCAGTCAGTCTGTGGCAGTGCCCAGCATAAAGTCAGCCTACTTGAATCCCAGTCCTGCACCTTCATCACCAGACCACCATGACTTCACTTTTTATTAAACATCAGAGTAATTAATCACACTAAAATCCCACTGGCAAATTACTCCTTCCACTAGACACTATTAAACCTAAAAAATGCATGCAATTGTTTTTGTTGCTCTAGCATCATTCTAGCAATAATAAATAACAAAAAAAATCCCTGAGGCCAGTATAGAAGGAAAGGGGCAAAAAAAGAGGACAGTATGAAAACAGGGAGAAAGAGAGAGAACAGAACAAAGTGACATGCTCCCAAAATTAGTGTGGGGCCTCAAGTGTCCTTTTCAACTTTGCTCACAGCTGGCTTCTCCCATCCTGGTATCCCCCTTTTAAATTAATTCTAGCAGGCTATTAAAAGGCTCTCGCACAGAGAATACTGTAAGAGTCTAAAGTAGCTTATTTGTACTTTTTTCTGGCCTTTTTATTTTTAACTCTTTATCTCCTAATTTCAAGTTCCTGAATTTGTAACTGCAAGGAAGATTAAAATGTTTATTACTGGATCCCATAACACAGATCAGAAAAGATCTTCTTCAAACAGAAGGAAATAAAATTGTTACCTCCATGCTCCAGTCAATGCTCCACCCCCCTGAAGTTCTGGTATTTCCTATAGAACAAGGTCTGATGCTTTCCAATCAGATAATGAAAATAATCAGGACCTAGAATTAACACTCAAGAGTCCAAAACTAACTTCATAGCACAGTATAACATTTCTCTGTATTTGTTACATGTATACAGACTTCTTACCTTCCTTGTACTTGTAACACTAAATTGCAGCCATAAGAGTCCAAATGGCAGGGGGTGTTTGCTCCTTCAGAACCAATCCACAGTGTGCTCTCTCTTCCACATCTTCCAGGAAAACCAAAGTCAGACCACCTTATATCCTACCACAATGAAAACGTTATTCATGTAAGCTGTTGAACTGACTCATGTCCTACCCTCAGTTCTCTGAGTTTTCTGTCATTTCCCTCTACCCCCCAGCCGCACTTTATCCACTGCAGCTGATACTCCTTGGTGGGGTTCCTGCATATATGGCCTGTTCTCCTTACTCCAAAATTCTCCTCTCTAGTAGCATTTCTTCTGCTAATTTCTTCTTTCCCTGTCTACTTACACAGCCTCCCAGATCTCTGTCTCCAGTTCTCATCCCAGTCTTTCATATCAGGCAAGTTCTACAGAAGAACAGCCCCACTGCCCATCACCACACGTGGCTTCTTTTCCACCTTTTCAAACACAGTTTTTTTCCTTTATCCACTGTTAACCACTCAAGCTCAGGATTGCTTTTAGAAAAATTCTGATGTATGGCATTTAAAAGAAGAATGGAAGGAAGGAAAAAATCTCTCCTTCCCTTTCAAATCAATTTGGTGATCCATGTGGCATATTTGCTCTCTGTTCCTATTTCAGCTTTCTTCATGTATTCTGGAAATGCAGACTTTACCCCACCTCTGGCCCACTGGTATGCTGTTTTTTTTAAAGTTTCTGATTACTTAATGGACACGTTCTTCTGCCTTTGCAGCTGAGGAGGAAGGGAACTTCAAACAACTCGATGACATGGTGACAAAGGGCAGAAAGAGGTATGCTCTGTTATGAACAGGATCCTGAAGCTTTCCAGCCCATTGGTTCTCCCACAAGCAATCTCTTGGGGATGACAGATGGAATGAGGCATGGTGAGGTATTTTTCAGCTAGTTCAAGGGTTTTGCTGGATGGCTCTGTATAGCTCTGATAAAGCCTTCCCCTGTTTCTGCAGCTCACCCTGCCACCTGCAGGGACTGATCATTTGTTTATTGGAAAGCACTGGATGTACACCGGCCAGAGATACTGGTTTCTTTTGGCTGGAGCCCCAGACTGAGCCTTAGAAAAGAGATTCAATTCTTGGCTTCCTGATGGTTGGGCAAATCACTTCATCTCTAAGCTTTATTTTTCCCATCTTGAAAAGGAAGATAACAGTATTTGTTCTGTTTCAGTAAAGCACTTTGTGGTCATTCACAGCACCTAACTTTAGGAACCTAATTTGGCTCCTGCTCTTGTCAAAGCACTTTCAATCAGCCCTTGGAAAAGCCTCTCTCTTTCTTCTGTCTTAAAGAGAAAATAGGACTCTGTCCTTCTAATCTAAGTATGTAAGCTAGCTTCTTGCAGACAGGTGGATAACTATCCTTTTTTAAGATCTATGGATGAGGAAAACTACAACTAGACATGATGATAGGATGACTTCATGTTTCTGTATCAGGAAACCCTTAAAATGAGCAATAGCCTTCCCAAAAATTCAGTGTTGCTAAAGATGTTGAATTTCAGAATTATTGACTTTAAAGATATCATTTGAAAAAAAATAATGCAGAAGTGTAATATAAACATTTGTCAAAGGCAGCAAAAAATCAGGAAGAAAAAGTTGCTACTATAGATTTCAGCAGCCATAAAATTTAAAATCCAATACAACTCCTTCAGTGATAAAGTTAAGTGTAACACCATCTCTACACTTTAATCTCACACCTAAATAGTTTTTGTATTTTGTTACCATTTAAGTGGAAAGAAAGCACACATAATCAATACTAGATTTAAAAGAACTTTTTGAAACTGTTGCAGAAATAGTAAATAGTTGAGGTGATTATGGGTAAAATAGTTTTTAGCCAACGAACTGAAAAGGAACCTGTAGGGTCTCTGAAATCTTGTCACAGTGGGTTCCTTTTCTACAATGAAAAGCCACAGTAAGAAGAAATGCACTAAAAGGTGTTCCAACCATAACAGATGGCACATTACTTGTGAATTACATTTATTTCATTTGCTGCTTATAATGAAGTTAATCCGTACCCGTATGTCACTGTAAAAGGTCTCGTTTCTATTTAAACTTCAAGCATATATCTTGCTTCTGATTTATATTTCCAATTCTGTGATGAAATATCAACTGAACAAAAACTGTAAGATGCTAGATACTGGCCATAGATTAGAATAATGGAATCATTACCTTAGCCCATACAACTGTAAATGATAAACAGTGCAATATAAATTTCAAACAACTTCTAACTGGTTCTATTAATCACTATAAATAACAGTGCAGTTGGCCTTCATTTCCCCTTCAGATCACCTTACGTAAATCTAAATAACATCTAAAAAGAAAAAACAAAGGGGTTATCATCAAATGCACACAAGAATGGAAGAGAATTTCTACAAAGATCTCTTTTGGCTGGTATAAATTGTGGAGCAGTGTTTCAAAAGCCGTATGAGTCTGGAACTGATGGATGCATTTCACTCCCATGCCTGTGAAACTAGCAGATGACACACACCATATTTGCTTGCATAACACCATCAGTTTTTTTCCTTCCCAGATTCTGCTTTAAAAAAAAAAAAAATATAATCCACAGCATAACCATTATGTGTCTCTGTTCTAAAATTGCAGTACAATCTGTTGCTTGTTATCAGTCAGGTGATGAGGCTGTGGCATGACACCTGCAGAGAAATGCAATTCCTGAAGCCTCACTTTATCTCTGGAATGGGGGCAAAGGGAAGAAGGAGGTAGGAAAATGGTGGTTTCCTTTAGGTATGTGTTTATTGACTGAATGAAGCAGCAGGATATTCAGGTCTTCTGAGCTGCTATTATCTTGTCCCATAAACACAAGAAAATGCTGGGTTTTGAGGCAGAAAGAGAAAAGACCAAGGCAGAAACAAAGCACAGAGTCACTCAAAGATCTGGAGAAGCCTGAAATATCCTTGGAGCTCCCAACTTAGTTCAAGGAACATGACCCATGTCCTGTTAAACATGTTCATCAATGACCTGGATGAAGGGACAGAGTATCCTCAGCAAGGTTGCTGATGATCCTGGGAGTACTGGCTGATTCACCTGAAGGCTGTGCAGCTGTTCAGCAAGATCTAGACAGATTGGAGAGCTGGGCAAAGAGGAACCTAATGAGGTTCAACAAGAATAAGTGTAGATTCCTGTAGTTGGGGAGGAAACCCTGTGACAGCCTTGTTGCTACAAGTGAATACATGCCATCAAACCCTCTCTCCAGAGCAGAGCTGTTAGTTTGGGTGCATTTTTGGGTGCGAGGTGGATCTGGGGCAACAGCAGGGTCTCAATTTTTCACCTTGTCAGGCCTGCCAGCTGCTTGTCATCTCCACACCCAAGCCCCACCTCACCTGGATACTTTCAGCAGAGGTGCAGGGAAGATGTTGAGCTGCAGAGGTCACACACATGACTTGGTGCTCCTCAAGCCTGCCCAGACACAAAATGATGCTGGGCTAAATGGGAAGGGGAGTGCTTCCAGTCTGGTAGTTGTTTTTGTTGCTTGTGGTGTTGGTTTTAAGCATATAAGGACACTCAGAATTTTAGATGGCTGCCACTTGCTACTATTCTCCATTAGACTGAGAGCCAGTGGTTTTTATTTCAAGATTTTAAAATAAATGGCCAAAGGAGCAGAGAGGGGATAGCAGTAGAGGTTTCAGAAGCTACACTAAATAATTTGCCATCATCAAACTAGGAAGAGATAATATTAATGTTTACCTGGAAGATTTCTGGCTTGTCTTCAAATATCCTGGCAATGTATTTGTAGTCAGCATAAGCCCAATGTTTGGAGTACTCATAAGAACTGAATGGTCCAGAGAGACAAGAAGGCTGCCCACAGGTCCAAGCCAAAAACTCTTCAAGTGTAGCCTTCACGTAGCTACACTTGGTTTCAAACTGGGGAACTAGAGCAACAAAAGAAAAAGCCAAACATTACATGACCATTAAGCACAGAACCAATTAAAAAATAGTATGTTGTTTCTCTCTCTGCTCTGGTTAAAAGCAACATAAGGTATGAACTGGGACTAGATGGTTTGACTCTGGTCAAGAGAATGGTTCTCATCACCTAACTCATAATTAAGTCTGAGAGTATTGCATTTTCATTAAGGTTTAAGGGAATGGCTGCTGCCTTGAACTTGCTATGAGGTAAAAGCACACGAACAGTTGCTGTTGTTCATGTGCAAAGCACCCTTCAGCACAGGAACTCAGTAATATCCCCAAATTCCCTGAACAACTGAGAGCCTGTCCTTTGCTTCATCTCCCTTAAGCGTGAGCTGCAAAGGTACACACAAGTATTTCTGTACCTATTGTTTTGTCACCATGGATTTACGTGGATGGACATGTTCATCTTTCCCTAAAGCAATAACCAAATCGGCACAGTAAAGTGTAGGAAGGAAATTATGGAGCCACATGTGTGCCAATGATTCATTTAAATTGCTGTATGTCCTTATTTTTCATTTGGGACTGGCAAAAGCATATTGCAGTGTTCCTTGGCAGACATAAAATGTATTTACCAGCAATGTTTTGCTCCCATCATGCTTTGGTCAGGCTGACTGATACAGCCCTTCAGCTCAAGGCCAGGTCTCTTGGAAGGCCTACAAGATAACTCACATCACAGTGTACTTGAATTATGGTTAATCAGAGATTTTAATTTCCTACAGCTGATAATTGTGCCAGCTTCAAAGAGGCATTTCCAATGTTAAAAAAACCCCAACAAACAACAACAAAAACCCCTATAACTCCTACTTGGAAAAAATTTACTGCAGCATGCATAAATGACAATGGCTGAGCTGCAATTTAACCTTGTGTAACTTGCATGGAGCAGCTCAGCAATGGGACCCTTTCAATGTTGTGCAGCAGCAGCTCTTTGTTCTTTACCACACTCATTTTGTTATTGCAGCAATTCCCATAGAGTCTCATACATTTGTTCTTATTCCCCTCGGGCAGGAGAACAGCTTTTACAAACCTTTATCGTTATCATTTTCCTGTTTTCCATTGTAGCAGCCTAGGTAGTGGTTTTCCTTCCCCTCACTATCAAATTCATTAACTAACAGTGTCAGATAAGCCCCACTATTCAGCAGCCCACAACCTGGCTCTCTGCAGTAGAAGGGCTCCCAACCTAAGAACTGCAGACCAGGGACAAACATGGCCTGCAGTAACAACAAACCTCCTGTATCTGTGTCCATGCCTGAGTTGCAGTCCAATGTCCCCTCCTGACACACAGTCATTAATGCCATGCACATCATTTTACTAAGACATGGTCTGATGGAAACATTAGATAAAAGATATAAGCATTGCTGAAGGTGGCTCAGTATCTGCATTATTTTTATGAGAACAAACAGTGCTTAGGACACTGCCTATTTTCCAAGATAACTCAGGAGGAAGTGCTTTAAAGGAAAGAAATCTGCTCTTTCTTCCTCAGTATATTTCACTCTGAGCTTCATTTCAAAAAAAAATCCAACTCTGAAAGGCAAGACTATCTTCTAGGGTAGAATCTCCTCAGGCCAGGGTTCTTGGTTTAATTCATAACTTGTTCAGTGCTAAGGCATGGGTGCTTATGGAAAAATAAATAGTGATAAAAATGTATTTGGGCAACCTAGACTGATGGCTTAGATGGATTTGTAGGTGTAACTAGGGTGAAAATGTTAGCAATGGGCAGCTGAGAGCAAGAACATTAATCAGTTTGTTAATACTTAATGACTAAAAGCTGAGGGTGTTTTTTAATTGATAAATTGTAGATTAAGCCACATCAGTTGAAGCTACCAGTTCTGTCTGATGACATGGGATCTGAAGGCATGACAGTCCTCCTCCCTCCCACCTAATGCCACAGGTTGAAACTGGAGCGAAGGAGAAAAGGAAGAAGTGCTTTATGGAGGAAGAAGCCCCTCTCCTTACTTACAGTCTGGTCCTGACAAGACACCAAATTCTGTTCTACTAAGAAAAACAATGTTTGCAATGTATACTAAGGGAAATGTAGGAAAAAAAAGGATAAAGCCTTAGAAAATACCCTAAAGCCCCAGTAAGAAGGTAAGCGAAATACCTCCACCATTTCTTTAAACTTAAAAGAAAACCAAATGTCTGTTCACATCTGCTGGGGAATTAAAATTATTTAAACTAATAATCCAAGCAAGGAATAGCCTTTTAATTCTGTAACAAAGCACAGGCATACTCACAAACAAAAAAAACTGGCCATCCGCATCCAACTTCAATAACCACCTCAATATGCAACATTTATTCAGTATTTGGTATTTGTACTGTACTGTAATTTCAACTACTGAGCCTGCAGCCACCTTTGCAGTCCCTCTCTGTATCAAACCTCAGAGGCTTGAATCCTTTTGCTGTCCTTAGTGGCAGAACCTCTTGGGCAGATGTCCAGGCTGCAGCCCTCTTCTCTCCAACTTCATATCTGACAGCATCAGCTCTGTCCAGCAGCTCTTGTTACTCATAACTGATCAGCGTGACAACCTCTTGTTCTCTCCAGCTTCTTTACAATAAACTCATTGTTTATTCATTTTACTACAGAACCAAAGAAAATGCTCAAAATAAGAACTGTCTGCAAACAGAAGTCAGTTTTGTGTAAGCTTTCTTCTTCCTTTGTAATTGTGGGTGTGCTCCACGTAGCCATCAGATAGATGGGCTATAGCGATGCATTTTCTCTGCCAGAAACTCAACTTCTGTAGCTGCTGCCCACCCTTTATCCCCCCTCAGAAAAATAAATATTTCAGTATGGCTGGAAGTAGTTGAGGGATTTCCTGATTCATAGCACCTTTGCTGCTGTTGTAACAAATGATGGTATTCTCTGGAGGCATCTTACCTCTGTTGATGTTTAATCCTGTGATGATTTTTTCCCCTCCTATGGACACATACTATTTAACTTGTGTAATCCAACAGAATCCCATCAAACACACAACCTTAGAAAGGTACAAACATTTCCTAATAAGAATAAACATGCAAGAAAGGAGAGTTCTACTCTTGGCCAAATCCCAGGTCCTAAAAACAAAGCCTGTGGTGAAAAGCAACACATTAGAGAGTGAACAGTAATAACAGAGAGGCAGAGGATTGCAGAACTTCAAAAAGATAGTTGTGACATGTAACACCCACCCACCTTGGTCTCACCTAAATCCACTGTCTTCAGACCTATCCTAAACTGGATTTCCTTTCCACTCAATACCTGAGAAAGGTATTTTGCATTCCAGTGAAGGGCTGGCCAATCACCAACCATATTACAGAAGACTGCAGGTTGCTGTAGAGACATCACAATTTCCTTGGTTTTCTCAGGAGTAAATGGTTTGACATCTTCACCTATGTAAAGAAAAAAAAACAGCTGTAGAGAGATGATTTATGATACATGAAGTGATACCAACCCTCTCCCACAGGACAGAAAACATTCAGGATTAACACCTCCTCTGTTTGTGGTTAATAGTTCTCTTGTATTTGTAGATTCTTTTAAAGTCAGAGTTCTACTACAAACACTGAAAGAACATTCTTACAGTAAATCAAAGTAGTGTATTAGAACCCAAAATGTAATAAATAAAAACAGGCAGGTGCTTAGAATTTTCACATACAGCTTAGTCAATAAAACACTGTAGCCACATTGTTTAGAATTAGGCTGACAATAAAAAAACCTTATAAACAACATCCAGAGTTTAGAGAACATAACTTTTATGAGTAATAGTCTTTCTGCACAGGATTCTCTCCAAGAAGTCTAGTACATTGTCAGAGACAGCAAACCAGGTTCCTGTGCACTTGATGTAAACCAAGGAACAGCCTAACCCAAACAGCAGGTACTAAAAATTTTAAAAATTTCTTCTCATCTACAGAATTTTAGAAAAAGGAAATTGTACCAATCCAAGAACTGAACTAACCAAAGATTTCCATTTATTCCTTCGCTGTTTAAAGATTTATGTGCCCCTCTGAAACTGTCAAGCTGAAATGACTTGGTGCTTTCAGAACAACTTTCCTTGAATGACATATTGAGAAGGAAAGCCTGATTTGTTTATTTATTTATTTATTTTTTAAACTAACAACTCCATTGAGATGAAACAGTGGACTACAACTTCAAGTCATAAAAAAACCCCATTCATTATTTTAACCTCTATTGAAGTTAACTCATCCAGAATCTGCATCCATGTAACACATATAATAGCAAATCGATAGGTATGGTTCCCCCATGACTCCAAGCAGCTCATTAAAAACAAACCAATTCACTCACTCTATTGAGGGGTCAAATTCTGGTTTTGCATGTGTGATGGGTTAAATAAATATAGGACAAGAAAATTCCCTTTACTGCTGGGTGCCAATTTTGCCTCTCACTCTTCCCCAGGTGTGGGTGGTAGGACATGTGGTGAAGAACCAGCCAGTCCAGCATGGGGCAGCCCAGCATGACCACCTGGGTCAAAAGACCCACCAGGAATAAGGTCACCAAGAAGGTTTGTTTTGGATTGTTTCAAACATAACAGTTTAAAATAAATATATGTATGCTGAAAGGTGGATGGCAGGAATAAGAGGAGCCCTGTGCATGCTGTATGCCATATATGTCTGGTAACTTTTGTGAGTCCCCCTTCTTTTCACAGGGTTTATACTCCAGCATAGCTGGACTCCTTTAGTTTTCTAAATTAAGCTGCTGTTTCCACACAAATTCAGTAGGAGGTATCACGGCTAGGGTATCCTACCTAGTTGAGGGGTCCTTCTGCTATGGATTTCCAGGGAAAGTGAATCCCTTTCTCCTTTAACTCATGGAAACTCCATCTTGAAGCTTTAAAACTAAAGACCTCCAATATTCTGTCTTCATGGAATATAAATTTTTCAATGGCTTCCCTTTCTCAAGGGTGCTGACAGGAGGGAGTCTGGGGTTTGGTTTATTTCCCACGTTTCCTCTCATGTGCAGAGCAACACCTGACAGGATGGTGTTGCTGTGACACAGAGATGTCTCCAACACTTGGCCTTCAGTCTTGCACTCCAGCAGCTAGCACAAGCAGGACATAAGGAGGCCTCACAGGGACCTTATGTCTTCCCATATGGTCTTTCCTACCCCCAGCAGGAAACTCTGGGGGTTTCTGAGCAATTGGTTAGCATACCTAGAGGGAGCAACTCCAGAGAAGGCAGAAAGACATGTGCGGACACAACAGAGGTGCTGGTGCAGCTACCAGGAGCTGGCTGTAGCATGGGAAGGGGCTAAAGCTCAGCATGTTTTTTTGCAGTGATGCTGTTCAAAGACTAAGGCAAGACTCAGTCCAGATCTGAACACTCTGAGGAGGATCTATAAAACTTCTGTCTTTAACCAGTGTAATGATAATATCGTAGACGTGGCTTTCAGGATGCAGGACCTGGCTGGCCTTAGATACTCTTCAGATTTTCCAACTCATAAAAAGGAAAGTAGGCTAAGTTTATCACCACATGGCTGTCCACTGACTATTCAATTGCTTGGGTTGGTTTTTTTTTTAAGGGCAATATATTTAATTATTTTAGAGGATGTAAATCCAGAGAAATGCAGTTGGTGGCACTTTTTGGGAGGATTTTGTAAAGCTGAGTTTTATTGCAAAAGCTTCAGGTTTATCCTGTAACTTCAGTCAACAGTTGGGATGTGCTAAAAAAGCAGAAATTGTACTGGAAGTGACAGGAAGGCTCAGTGAAGCCAACTGTTGATTCTGTGTGGCTTTCTAATGTAATTTCCACATCCATATTGTGCTGTTAAAAGGTGTGGTTTTAACCACAGTAAATATAGTGGGAAGCTCAGAGCTCAAGCTACTGGGAGAGTTTGTATCAATGCCAAACAAAACAAAAAACCCACAATCAGGCTAAAAAGCCTTGCCTCTACAGAACATTAGCTGGAGAGTTTTGTCATGTCATGACACTTTATTCAATCTTAAATCTATTTCCCCCTAAAGTTTAGAGACAATGAAAGAGCACCCTCTGTCTTAGGAAGATGCTAATCACTTCTATCTTCAAATAGGAATAAAATCACTGTTAAATGAGAACATACCTTTTCCTGATACAGATAATCACATACAATATACATGATTTAATCAGCAGTGAAGTTTAAAATGTTTCAGAAAATTTACAGCATTAGATAAATGATCATTAGGGCTGTGTTGTGTTTTTTTTTGCAAAGACAAATGGGGATTCCTGCCAATTTTGTGCAAAGAATCTTCAAGTGTCTTGATTCAGTTTTATATATTCTTTGGGGAGAACTGCAGTCAGCTAAACACAATTATTTCCCCATAATGTTTGTCAATGTCCCGGTTTGAGCCAGTCATGCATATTTAAATGCTTGTTAGAGAAAAGGCATGGGATAAAGGTAAATATCATATACTACATCAATTAGATATTATGATAATTTGGAGACCTCTGCTTATGCCCAACAGATGATGGACCTGTAAACTGTAGGAGTGGTAAAAGGTTATTAAAAGCGACATCTGAAGATACCTCTTGAAAGACAGATTAGCAGAAAAACCTGTACTTTACAATAATAATAATAACAACAACAATAATAAATATTTTCCTTAGTTATTGTTATCAAAGCTTCACCAGCTGGGCTCTTGCTTTTCAGTATTTCCTAACCTGAAACTGATGGTAATTGATTCCTAGGGAAAACCTGAGGTTGTATAGCACATATAAGGGCATATAGTTTGGACACAAGGATTTGCAGAAGTACAAGGCGTATCAATAACATGTGTTGCAAAGAAACAAAATGTCCATGGCACATCTTGGGCATTAGACATCAAATTCCATTGGGAGATCTGGTAGCAGGAGAGAATAGAAATGCATATGCCCTTTGAAAAGCTCTGTTGAAGTCTTCATTTTCTCAGTTGTACTCTGATCCAAAAGAGAAAAGGAATGCTGTTAAATTAGTTCTTTCCATCAGGGTTAGCAAATGATGTGGCTTCCCAGTACAAAAGGAAACAGGAATAATTTGCCTCGTGTTTTGACTTTACACAAGGCATGTATAGAATCCAATCAAGAACTGAAAAACTGAAACAAGTTTTAGCTCAAGTTTTGTAACCGTGACAGCTGACATAATTGGCAAAAAACAAAGGTGTTTTTTTAGAAAGGTAACATACTGCAAAATAGAGACCTTCCAATTAAAAAAACAAAGCTCTCCAGTCATCTTTACATAAAATGTTGTCAAATATGAAGTCTTGTCCAGACTTCAGCACTGAGGGCAGGTAAAAGAAAAGTGATGAGTTAAGTATTTTACAGTAGACTTTGCTTCTAAGAGAGAAAATGCTTCTGATTAACAATTTTTCTGAAAAACTGAGTGGGGTTTGTGAATAAAGAGTTTAGCACAGCAGGCAGTCTGCTGAAAAGTGGACTTGATCAAAGTTGTTCAGAAGTTAAGTGTACTGTCATTAAAAAGCTAAATGTACTGGATTCATTTAAAATAATTTAGCAAATTAGAAGAGTTCATTAGTGTGTGGTAGCTGGCTTCTGCCAAAACACCCTGCTGCTTAATTATGATATTTAATTGAGAGGTATTAAAATTATTTTAAAAAGAGGGAGTACAAGGAAAGCCCGGTAATGTATTTTGTGCAAGCATCATCAAATTGTTTTTCTTGCAAATCTGTAATGCTTCATCACCCTTATTTCTTTAAAAAAAAAAAAAAAAAGGTATTTTGCAAACATTAAGACAGACCAGCCAGGCCACTAAAAAAAACCCCTAACCTCCAAAATCTTAACTATCAAGTAACTAGGAGTAGGAAAAGAGAAGGTATGGAGAAGGATGGGGAAATTCCCCAAACCAAAGAGAAGTGACTTGGTTTGGAGGTCAGACATAATGATTTCACAGTACATTAACTATGTAAATTAAAAAAACAACTTTAAAAAATCTGCATGCGATGACAACGTTACGCACTGTAATCAGGCTGCTCTGGGCAAACAGGAGGCGTATAAATATAGATGGCAGCTTTCAGGGTACAGTGTATCAACATCTAGCTGTTACTTCCTGACCAGTTCTTGCAGTTACTATTATTTTTGACTTGGTGAATGTCAATACTGCAGATGTAGCATGGCCTGGAGGAGGGCATCTAACCTAGATTTGCATAAATATTTTGCATACTGAAGGATACGTAGTAGCTGGATGGAGTCTCGCAGGACAGACCAGTCCAACACATCTCTGAACTGGTAAGACTGTCACCTGAAGCTTACTCTGGCAGCCTGAAGTCAGCACATCCTACCTCGCCCTTCGTGTCTGCTACTGCAGAGGGAGGGGAACAAAAGAAAAGAAAGAGGCCAAAGCAGGAATTTGTATTTCACTTGCTTCCCAGGGCTGAGCATCTTACAGTTTTTCTTACAAGAAGTTTGAGTGACTCAAGACATGAAATAAGAGCGTCAGCAACACCCTCCAACTGTCCTTCTGATACAAAAAAGGAAATAGCTGCCAGACTTCTTAGGGGTGGAGTAAAATGTTGAGCCCAGAATATAGCACTGGGAGGGACTTCCTGTCCCTGCTCTAAATGACAGCATATGATCTCAAGCATACATTTATGAAATTCCTTCTTAAATCCCCTAGGGCTCTTCCTAGAAAGCTCTTCCTGAATCCCTGGCCAGCTTCTGCCTGGCATCTCTTCTCCTCCCATCCAGTATTGCACTTCAAGAAAGCAGTTGCCTTGATTTTCATCTAACTGGATGCTGAATGGCCTCAGCTCTTCTGCTCTCCTTTAGGAGAAGAAATGTTTTTCTTTCCCTCCTTGTCTTTACAGCTCCTGCTTGCACCTTCTGCCATTTGCAATACCTCCTTCTGGTCCCACCCCCCAAGCTCAGGAAAATTTCCATCAGGACAACTGACAGAATTCAATACTAAATGTATTTCCAATGAACCTTGTGAACTTCTTATTGGATAAATGGATAAAACTTCTTGTTGGATAAATGGCACTCAAATTTTATTTTGAATGAGAAAACTATGGTCTTTGACCAAAAAATTCCACTCACTATAAAACAGGAGAGACTGATATTCCTTAAGCTAGGCTGTTACAATTCCCCCCTTTTGTCTTTTTGGGGTGTAAATTACAGTTACCTGCTGCTGACGAAATTTAGTAGCAAAGTCATTTCTTCCCAATACCCCACTTGCACTAACATACATTTCTCAGAATATCTCCTAATAGATAGGAAATTTATATAAAATGTAGTACTACTACAGTATTACGATTGCAAGTAACAGAACTGGTACATCAGGAAACTAACATCTATACCTCTAAGAAAAAAAAGAAGAATTTGTTCATGTTGTAAGTTTATTTCTGTTTCTTTCTCTACTGCTTGTTAGTAGCAAACATGAATGCACTACTCTTAAATTGATGAATACACTATGCAAAATTCACTGTCAGAAACTGTAACCATTTATGACATTGTTGTCCTATCCTGCAAACTAATCACAAGAACTTGAAAACG